AAATCCTGAGCAAAGCCATGTGGAATGCCTACCGGCCAAACTGCTGCCTAACCATCGACAGGGCGCTGCTGCCCAGCCTGGAAGAGGGCAGCAGCCAAACCAAAGGGAACCCGAAGACTCAACCTCAGGTCTGGCTGCTCTGTGACTCAAAGTCTGGTTACTGCCACCGTCTCTTCATACAGATGGGGGAAGTCGGGTCAGGATCCAGGCTTCACCGTAGTGCCGGAACTGGTGAACGGTCTGGAGGGAAAACACCACCAGCTCTACCTTGCTAACTCGCTCACGTCTGTTCCACTTATGCAGAAGCTTCTGGATCAGGGCATTTATGCCTCCAGCTCCTTCCCTCCTCCCAGCTCCATCCTACCCAGGGAGCTGTGGGAGGAGGGCGAGCTAGAGAAACCAGGGGACTTCCTACAAAGACAGTTTGGCCCCCTGCTAGCCACTCGCTGGAGGGATACCAAGGAAATGGGGTGTCTATCAACAAATGCAACTCCAAATGAGCCAGATACTGTTTGGAGAAGGTCTCAAACCAAGGTAGGTGGACTGGACCCCATTGACCGCCCCATGGCCTTCCGCTTGTTGCAGGAGAACATGCGGGTGTCGACATCTGCAAGCAGCTGCTGGCGTGCAACCCGCTGGGAGGGGTCCCTCAGGACCGTCATTGGCGCAGCCTTTTCTGGTTCCTGATCAACCTGAGCATCGTCAACGCCTTCATTGTGCTGCGTGAGAGCCGCAAAGAGAACCCTCCCGCCTGGGTACAGGATGGTCTTTTTACTCAGGTAAATTTCCGCAAGCGCTTGGGCAATCAGCTCGCCAAGTGTGCCCAGAAATACTTCGAGACAATGGAGATTGCAACGTCGCGCGTGACAAGGAACGAGGTTGCAGAGGAGCCAGTCAAACAAAGGCACAGGATGACGAAGATCAGTAATGTGTCCAAGAGGTGCAAGAACTGCAACTTGAAGAACATCCGCCACGAGAGCGTGTATGGCTGCATCGTCTGCAAAGCCAACCTGTGCAAACAGCCAAGCTGCTTCTGGGAATATCACGGCTTGTCGTCTCTAAACAAAGGTCAGTATTTCACTCGGTAACTCTGAAAGGAGCTGTTTTATTGCTCTGAATTTCAAAGAGCTGTTTTGTTTTTACAGGATCAATCAAAGTTGGGTTTCTCAAAGACAGAATAAGGTATGTGTGATCCACACAGTTAAATGTTTGATTATTTGATGTGAACTACTAATAAAAGTTTGTCTTTGCTGCAGTGGAGCGATTGAGGTGGATGAGGTTTTGGACAGCGTGGACGAGACGATGGGCCCTGTGGAGGACCTGGACTTTTCTGATGATGAGAGACTGGACGACCTGGATGACGCTGAAGAAACTGAAGAGGTTAAGGAAGACTTTATCAAAGATCCAGAGTTCCATATCCATCAACAGCAAACGGCCATGCCCAACCACCGGCCATTGCACCTGCCTCTAAAGAGCGTGAGGATTTCCTGACCGCCCGTCAGCTGAGGATTGCCCTGTTGCTCTCTGTGATGGACTCCGCCAGGCCTCTCGCGTCTTTGCAACAGAGGCTCCGCTTATCCGATCCTGGCTGAAAGAGGCCCGGAAGCGTCTAAAGGAAAAAGAGCAGGAGCAGAAGGTCCAAACCAATGGTGCGGATCGTATGGTGGCCTGGGTGCTATCCATGCGTGAACAGCAGCTTCCTATCACAGAGAGCAACCTCTTCACAAAGCTTCCACCCTCAAGAAGAAAGGAGGTTTTAGTGTCTCCTTCCGCATCTCTTACGACTGGGCGGTGAACTTCATGCTGGAGCACCGACTTGGTGTGCAGAGTTCTGGCAGGGCTGCGACACTGGATCGCATTCCTGCCGCGTTTTCTGGAAGCCAAAGTAAAGACCTTCAAGGAGTTTACCCAGAAGATCATCCAGGCCCACAAGCTGACAAAGAGCACCGTTGCCGCGATGGATGAGCTTTGCATCTTTGTGGACTTGAGATTGGTTCAGGAGAAGTCTCGCCGCTCAGAGGCCTTGGAATTCACAGGGTCTTTGCCTCTGCTCACCGTGTACCTGACGGTGGCTGACGGCACCATGCTACCTGCTCTGGTGCTGGGAAACAGGAAGCTCAATGAAAGAGACCTGCCAGAGTTCATTTTGCTGGAGGCTATTCCAGAAGGGCTGTCGGTCGAGGAAGCGTTGGACCTCTGGATTAATAAGGTGTGGCTGCGCACCGGCCCGGCTCAGCATAGTAAGTCAATGCTGGTCCTGGACCGGCATCGGGAGCACCTGGGTGATCATTTCCTCACCTCCATCAGCAGCTCAGGGACTCTGCCAGTGGTCATCCCTAGTGGGTCCCTTCTGTCTGCAGCCGCTGGAGATCTGCATGAAGCCGGTGCTGCAGCGCTTCCTGCTGTCACGCTGGTCAGAGTTCACTGCCAGGAATCCAGTGGAGATCAAGGAGACATCACCCCAGTCCCTCCAAGCAAATGTGGGTCAGGTGTTATTTGACTGGTTCGAGGCTCTGACACACCTGAATAAAGTCCCACAGCTTTGGAAGAAGTCGTTTGACCTGACGGGTCTCCGGTGGGGCCCAAAGAGGAGAACGTGGAATTGGACAACAGAACAACAGCTGATAAAAGAGGCGGGATTCAGTCCGAGCTACTGACGATGCTGACTGAGATCCTGCTTGGTGCTGAAGCTTCAGAGACAGAGTCTCAGATCTGCTGGAACTGGAGGATGAAGAGGACTCAGAGGAGGAGGAACAAGCTGTGAAAGAAGAGACATCAGAAGAGAATCAGGAGGACAAAAAAAGAGAAGAGAAGAAAGAGAAAGAGGACAGGGAAGAGACGAGGAAGGAGTCAGAACAAAGAGAGCAGATGGAGGAGGAAGGGAAGGAAGCTAAGGAGAAAGGTAGGACAGAGGAGGAGATGGTGGAAGATGAGGAGGAAGACGGGAAGAACAGTGAGGAGAAACAGGAGGTTAAAACAATTGAGGAGGACAGTGAAGAAGAGGGCAAGGAGACAGAAGAGGATAGGAAGGAGGTGAGCAAGGAGAGAAGAGAGACCAGGATAGTGATTGGCGAGGAGGTTGGGGACGAGTGGAAGATAACAGTGAAGAGCCGGGCCGAGGCCACGGCGAAGGGGCACAGGAAGAGGAAAGCTGACTAGGTGGAGGTCCACAGCTTGACTTTGCACCAATCTCTTAACACTACAGGGACGGTCTGGGGCGGAACTTTCTGTTGGTGAGGCACACTGTCAAGGTATCGACTGTAAGCAACTGACTGTGTGCTAACGTTACAGCACTGGGGTTTGGGGGCGAACCGGGGTACAACGGTGGAAACGGCTCCTTTGATCGTTGCTTCTCAGTTTCTTTTATTCGAGCACCATCTAGTCGACGACAGGGGAACTGCACCCCGTTCGTGTGAACCATGCGGACAGATGGGAACATTTTGCTTCGTTTGTTATTTTTGGTAATAAATGAACCTTGAAGGTGCTTTTCTGACAGACATGTTGGAGTTTTACACAGAAAGGGATCGTGGAGTGGCCGAGTCACCGCTCATATTATGTTTTTGTATTTACAGTAAGATTTGTTTCCAGACCAGCCAATCAGGATCCATCTCCATCTGCTCTCATAGTTAGGTCTGTTTCATAAATAGTTAAAAACCTCTCCAGAAGTTCCTGCGTCCAGGTCGACTCGTTCGGCCAATGTGATCCTCCGGAAAACTGACACGGAAATGTGCTAACAAACCGAAACGGTCACAAAAAACGACCGCAGGTGAAAACATCGTGTGGAGGTGCAGATTCATCACCGCGTGCAGAAAGTGGAGCGTGTTTTCTAATGTGATCAAACGGTTCAGTCATTAAAGTGAGCAGAGGTGGACCTCCGCCTCGATGGCATCATATCATACCAAAAAACTCCACCCGTGTTCAGAGCATGAGTGGAGTTTGGGTATGATCATGGGTGGTCGCAGTAATCCCACTCAGGCGATCACTCAACCCTAAAGCGAAAAACGCAAGGCGAATGCTGGTTCTCTTCTGATGAACAATGGAGTCCTGGAAGCCGATTGGCTAGTCTGGATCTTGTGGCCAGGAAGTGTCCGTCTGATTATGACTCCTCGTGAAGCTGATGATGTTTTGGTGCTGCTGTACAGACTTTAGATAATGTTCCTCCATTAATAAAACTAGAATCTCTAACCTCTGAGTCCGTCTCTATAACTCTCAGAAAACAACTTTATGTTGTGCCTGACGGTGACTCTGCACAAATCAGCAGAGCGCCATGTGACTTTTTATCTTATCAGGTTACCTGCTGTGGCTTGACGAGCTGCTGAAACTAAACAAACCGACCAGCGGTTCAGAGTCTGAGTGACAATGACAATGCAGGAGGACGCTTTCATAACAAGTCACTCAGAGACACTTTTCCCCTCAAAGCTCTGAAATAAATTGTGATCAATAATCAAACTTTATTGTTATTCAAACACCTTTAGTGCAAGTTATTGCAGAGCTACACAAGTAAAGGAAAAAATGGCCTTTAAGGACAGAAAGTTCAGAAAATGTCAGCAACAATATCAGCTAAAATAAATGATTAAATGCTTGCAGATAAAATGAAAAGTCAAATGCATCACAGCATGTTGGAAGGTTACTTTTAAAATGTATTCCTTACAGAATACAGAATACATGCCCCAAAATGTATCTGTAACGTATTCCGTTACGTTACTCAATGACAGTAACGTATGCTGAATACTTTGGATTACTTATATTATCAGCTTTTTACAACAACGTGAATGTACTATTGGTGTGATTTATTACTGTTACTGAAGGTCCGCGACTCGAACTGTAGTAAAGGGACCTCTGACTAATACGGCGGGGTCCCTGTCGGCTCGTACCGAAAAATAGCTTTACTTTGTTGTGTGGGTCAACTTTTCTTGCGAGGACAGAGAAGGCGTTGAAAGGCTGCTAATGTTTCGGAGAAAACCGACCGTGTACAGTCGAGTCTTAATAGCTTACTTTACAACTGGGCTCGTCAGGCACTCCTTCAGGCACAGTTTCAGATGTTGTGCAGCTCTTTAGATGTCCTTCCTGAGTGTACCCAGGGTTTGCACCTTGCTGTAAATCCGTATCTCCATCTATGATGCCATCTCTCAGCCGTAAGAGCTGCGATCGTCCTCCACGCCGTTTCTGACTTTTATTTTAGAACATTCTTTAGTAATTTTTGTGGTGATAAAACAACCAAACAAACAGGCAACATATTAACATTCTCTGACATAAGACCATTTAAGAAAAGAAAGAAAGAAAAACATGTCATAGGCGAGATTATAGAGATTACAATGTTCCAGAGTTCATTCACCCAAGTATCTGGCCTCTAGTGATGGGATTTCCGGCTCTTTTAGAGAAACTGGCTCCTTCGGCTCGGCCACTAAAAAGAGCCAGCTCTTTGGTCCAACCGGCTCTTCAGGTTGCTTTGTTGCTTATTAATTAATTATGGACAACAATATAAATTATGCACAAAAGGAATTAGTAATGTAAAAAAACTTGGTTTCTTTATATATATGTTTTATATAAATATTATGTGTGTAATAAGTAAGACAGAACTTTATTAATCCCTCGGTGGGTTCCTCTGGGAAATTCGGTATATATAATATTATATATATATATATAATATATAATATATTTATTTTCATTCAATAATTTAAAAAAGTTAATTACCTGTTACTACCACATACCCAATCCGATTGTGGTACTTGCTGGCTTGTGTAGCCACTAGGTAACAAAGCTCAACACGGCCCCTAGCATCCTGGAGCACTTCCGTTGTGTTTGGAGTTTGTACGTGCTTTGTCTCTAGGGGCCACTGTAAATATACTTTTATTTATAACCCACATAAAATGTAATAAATAAATTATAAAATACAAAACCAACTATTTAACATTTCAACTTTAACTACTTAAATTTTCGGCTTTTTCCTTTAAACAAATTTAAAGTGAAACAACACAAAACACTGCAAACCAACACAAATAAAATATGGAGAGAAAAAAAAGGGGGGGTGGGGGGAGAACGCCCAGATCTTTTAATTAAGGGAAAGGTTGTCATTTAGAAATATTAATATCACACTCAACTGACTGCGTTTTATCTTCCCATTGCACTGATGGGTGGACAGTTGTTAGGTGCCTGTGCATGTTGTTTGTGGAGCCGGCTCTATATGATATCCTTTTCTTGTAGACTCTACACTCTACCTTGTTTTGTCATAAGATGAAATGTTCCAGACTTGCTTCTTTTCTTGGTGTCACTCATTTTCTTTACTGCACCTTTCCAATGTAAGGGTGTTGTCTCTTGTTGCTCCCGGCTCTCTTTCTTTCCCTCTCCCTCCTGCTCTTGTTTGTGTGCTACTGCTGTTGCGAGTGTAACTACCGCCCCGCCCCCTCAGCTCATCGCTGAGCAGAGAGGGGAGGGGCGCAAACCAGGGCTCTGTTTGCCGTCCTGCTCAGCGCAAACACAAGGACTTGCAGCGTGAAGCGAAAAAAAGTGAAAGAGAGGGCAAGAGAAAGAAAAAAAAAAAACCCACGGAGCCGGCTCGCATCGTTCACTTCAAAGACCTGGCTCTAAGAGCCATTTCGTTCGTGACCAACCCATCACTACTAGCCACACAGTTCCATCTCTGGTAATCCTCATCTCCAGTTTCAAGCTTGCTGTCATCGTTCCATTGTGGGAACTCTTTTCAGTCTGTTTCCATTGTGTTGTGGATGGTGAGCTTGTTTGTTTCCATTTCACAGTTATCATTTTCTTAGCTATTAGTAAGAGTATCCGCAGAATATATTTTTCATCTCTCTAGGTTTAACTCCCAGAGAAATATGGTTGGGTTTAGTGGAATATTTACTTGTAGGATTTTCTCTATTTCTTCTTTGATCTTATCCAGAAACCTCGAATTATTGACATCCCAAAAGAATGTGAATGCTCTCCTATTCCCCACATTTTCTCCAACATAGTTCTGCATTGGTTCCTTACAATATGAGGAGATAACAAGAGGTGTATTAAAAAATCTCATTTTAAACTTCCAGTCAAACTCTCCATAATTGATTACTTATTCCCTTGTGACAAGGTTACACAGCTCTTCCCATACATTATCAGTAATAATAATATTTAGTTCTAGTTCCCATTTCTCTTAAATGGCCTGTATTTGGCATCACTCATTATAAGCCTTTTGTAAATATGAGAGACATCTTTCTTAGTTGGAGATGTTTCTATAAGTTAATAAATTATTCTTCTATGCTGTTGGGAAATTTATTGATCAGGTCTGTTTCTTTGTGGTTAGGATATAATGTCTTATCTGAAGGTATCTATATAAACCTTTAGGAGGAAGTTGGAATGGTTCTTGGAGCTGGCTAAATGATTTGAGCTCTGTTCCATTAAATAACTGATTTATTGTGTAAAGGCTGCATTGGTCCGTCTACTAAAGCCACTGTCCCACACAGAAGGCAGGAATTCTATATTGCCCCCACTGGCCCCCCAATGTTTTCCTTATCGCTGGCCCACACCTTCAGGGTATGTTTTATCCAATCATTCTCTATTTTTAGGTATTTGATCAATTTTGCATCAGTGAAAGGCAATGTTAATAAGGGTACATTCTTACCCGTGCTTTGTTCTATCTGAACCCGTCCAGTTTCCTGGTCCTTTCTTTTCCATGCCACCTCTGCGTTTACTGTGCAGCCCAGGAACAGTATTTAAAATTGGCAGTCCCAGTCCCTCCTTTTCTTTGAGGTCAGCCAAAGTTTAAGTCGTATTCTGGGTCTCTTTTTTTTGCCAAATGAATGTGGAAATTTGTTTATTTAACATACTGAAAGTAGAGTAGTAAACTCTTACCGGCAATGATTGAAATAAAAACAAAAGCCAGGTAAGTAAGAGAGTCATCCTCACCACTTCAACCCCTCCAAATAAAGAGAGGGTAGAATGTCCATCGTGATATATCTTTCTTTATTTGTCCAATGACTTTGTATAATTAGTTTCATATAGTTGCTTAGGTTTTGCTGTAAGTGTAATTCCCAGGTATCTGAATCCCTGTCTAGGCCACGAAAGGAAACCCTTTCATTTAATGCATAGGACATTCTCCAGATAGCATCATTGGCCTCTGATTATTTTCATTAATCTTATATCCTGAGATTGACCCATACCTGTGTAGGCACTCCATAAGTGCTGGGATGGAAAGAAGTGGGGTTTTTAATAAAAAGTAAAGTATCATCAGCAAAAAGAGCTATCCTATTCCTCCTCATCCTCCGTTCCTTGGATTTGCGTATTACAACGTATGGCCTCAGCCAAGGGTTCTATACTAATCGCAAAGAGGATGGGTGACAGTGAGTCCCCCTGTCTCACACCCCTTTCTATCTTGAATAGATCAGAACAGCATCCGTTAACCCTGACCTTTGACCTAGGCTCTTTATATAGAGAGTTGATCCATGTAACAAATTTCCTCCAAATCCCATCGTTAACAGTGTTTGTTGAAGGAATATCCAGCCCACTCGATCGAACGCCTTTTCTGCATCCAGACTAAGGAACATTGATGGCATTTCATCTCTTTTTGCTATGACTGTAGATTTAGGGCCTTCCTCTAATGAATCCTGTCTGTTCACGTTCCACTAATTTCTTTTATATAATTTTGGATTCTAGTGGCTAGTATGGATGTTAAAATTTGTAGTCTACACACAGGAGACTTATTGGTCGATAACTTGTACAATTTATGGGGTCTTTTCCTTCTTTATGTAGAACTGTAATAATAGCTTCTGACCATGACTTTGGAATATCTCCTGAATTTAGAGCATAATTATATACTGAGTATGGGGGTAAGTTCGTTCTCAAATATTTTATAATACTCTCCAGCATATCCGTCTGCTCCTGGTGATTTGTTGTTTCTTAATTTGGCTATAGCTTCGTTTCTGACTGTTTTAGAGGGCTGTGAAGATGTTTTTCCACCACGGGAAAGATTCTGTCGTGTTCAGGTCTCAGACCTACTTCAGTGCTTTGAATCAGCTCCAGGTCTGTTACCTGCTTCATCTGTGATGAAGAGCAGACCTCACCTGTTCTGCAGTCAGTTGTGTGACTGTTTATAAAAATCTGTCACAAGCGTCTCATAGAAAACTTTAGAGCCTTGAATTGAAGCTGGAAGTCTTATTATAATTCTAATAACAATAAGAATGATGGCTTTTTGCACAGTGCTGCAGCGATGCATGCAGCTCGGACGGCGCTGTGGTTGCCTGGGAAACAGCTGGAAGCTCAGAGTGTTTCTGGGCTGTTCAGGGTTAATGTTGTGTTAGAGGCCCCCACTGCTGCACTCTGACTGGCTCTTTTGTGACAGTCAAGCAGGGAGACTCCGCCTCCTGTGTTTTACAGCGGGTCTGGTCTGAGGGAGTCCAGACCTGCTGGATCACATCAAACTGGAGCTCAGACATGGGTGAGTCCACTTTTCTCCTTCTCCTAGTATCCCCCCAGGAGGAGCAGGTGTAATCGGTTTCTGCTTCGTCCCGCTGCAACAGTTCGGCCCAAACAGACTCCTTGACTCTGCGTTGTGTTGTGTTTTTAAGAAGACAAGGAGTCTCTGATTAGTGATGGGTCGGTCGCGAACGAAATGGCTCTTAGAGCCAGGTCTTTGAAGTGAACGATGCGAGCCAGCTCCGTGGGTTTTTTGGGGTTTTTTTCTTTCTCTTGCCCTCTCTTTCACTTTTTTTCGCTTCACGCTGCAAGTCCCTTGTGTTTGCGCTGAGCAGAGACGGCAAACAGAGCCCTGCGTTTGAGGGGGCGGGGCGGTAGTTACACTCGCAACAGCAGTAGCACCAACAAGAGCAGGAGGGAGAGGGGAAAGAAAGAGAGCCGGGAGCAACAAGAGACAACACCCTTACATTGGAAAGGTGCAGTAAAGAAATGAGTGACACCAAGAAAGAAGCAAAGTCTGGAACCATTTCAATCTTATGACAAAACAAGGTAGAGTGTAGAGTCTACAAGAAAAGGATATCATTATGAGCCGGCTCCACAACAACATGCACAGGCACCTAACAATGTCCACCCATCAGTGCAATGGGAAGATAAACGCAGTCAGTTGAGTG